ATCAAAATTTGTTTTTCGATTTTTTTCATTTTCTCCCACTCTGAAAACCTTCTAACCACGATTTTAAGAGTTTTTATCGTGGAAAATCTGAAAACGGACCGAGAAAAATCGAATCAGTACGGTTACATGAGTTCTGGCCGACGAAAATGCGCGCCAGTCCGTCCGATGGCCGACGAAAATGCGCGCCAGTCCGTCAGATGGCCGACGAAAATGCGCGCCAGTCCGTCCGATGGCCGACGGTTCCGACCGTACGGTCGACCAAATATTTTTTTCTCGATCTTTTCATTTTCTCCCACTCTGAAAACCTTCTAACCACGATTTTGAGAGTTTTTATCGTGGAAAATCTGAAAACGGCCGGAGAAAAATCGAATCAGTACGGTGACAAGTGTTCTGGCCGACGAAAATGCGCGCCAGCCCGTCCGATGGCCGACGATTCCGACCGTACGGTCGACCAAAATTGTTTTTTCGATTTTTTCATTTCCACCCACTCTGACAACCTTGTAACCACGATATTACGAGGCTCGGGCGTGGAAAATCGGGAAACGACCGACCGAAAATCGAATCCGACCGGTGAAATGCGTTTTGGCCGAGAAATCATGCACGCCAGTCCGTCCGATGGCCGACGGTTCCGACCGTACGGTCGACCAAATATTTTTTTCTCGATCTTTTCAGTTCTGGCCACTCTGGAAACCTTCCAATCACGATTTTGGCAGGTTTGAATGTGGAAACTCGACAAATGATCGACCATTTTTCAAATCCGAACGGTCCCTTAGTTTTTCTCCGCCGAGAGAACCATGCCCGCCAGTCAACGGACGGTGGTGCACCACCGATCCCACGATCGCAACCCTTCCCATCCCGCTGTACGACCCATCCCAAGACCAGCCCATTAAGGAAAGGCATAAATCGTAATATGTCCAAAAGTGTGTTTATGAGTTGTAATTTTTTAAAAGCCACTTAAGGAAAGCTTGTTCTTCATCCTTCCTTCCTCCCTTCCTCCCCAC